AGATCAGAGTAATATGTTGCACAAGGGCCTCAGGTTTATCCACCCAATATTTACTGAGCCTTTAGTTGTGGTTGCCCAGGGACAACCTGAAATATTAAAGCATCTTCTATGTTACATCTTCAGCGGCCAAGGGGTATTATCATTCTCCTGTCTGCACACAAGCACCTCCTCAGTGGGTGACAGTTTTGCGCAGTACTGGCATGCAGATGGCCTTACCCTGCTGCCAAAACAACTTTCTCTAGCCCATTTTATGTGCATGTTTTACCTATAATCCATTATTACCCTTGAATGGATCCATGACTGGGGGGTCTACAAGAGTGAAGGTCTTTCTCTGGACCTGGAAAAACCCACAACAACCCATCATCTGCTGGTGAGAGAGCCCCCACTGTCCTAATGTGATATTTGGTTAAACTTCTGTGCGCATGTTGCCCCAGCCACTTCCTGAAAGCTCTGCAAAACTTTTTTTTTTTTCCCCCTTCGGAGCAGGGGATAGACATTTACAGAGAGTGTGGCCTCTCCTCCCTGAGGTCAGTCTTACATGCGTTTCTGTGCGGAGCCTCATCCTAGCACTCTCCTACTAGGGCTGCCGGCAACATTCCCTGACGAGGCTCTTTCGATACTTTATTAACACATACCAAAAGGCAAAGCAGGAAAAATGTGTTGCATTGGTAAAAGAAAGAGAGGGGTATGTGATATTTGCTCAGGGGAGGGTGAAGGTTGCACAAGCAAGTAATTGGGTTACATAATCAAAAGCAGTGGAATTACTTTAGCTTAACGAGTTACTGCTGATCAACTGAGCTGCACTTTCCCAGAGGTTTTAAGCCAAAATATCTTATTCTTTAACTGGAGCAAATTAAGATAAGGCAGCTGGTCCACGAGCGCTACTCTGCTGACATGCACTAACCCACTTCTTGCTGCATCTCTTGCAGTGAGAAGGAAGTGGTCCCAAAGACATCTGAGGGGGATTGCAAACTGCTGGACTACAAAGAAGCGAGCAGCAGTTCAGACCCTCCAGGACAGAGTAATGAAATAAGAACAGGATTCAGATGCTTACAGCAAGCCTTCATGCTAGCCAGGAAACTGCTAACTACCTTTAATTCCTGGCAACAACTCAGTTCCTCCACAATGGGAAGGAGCTGAGTGTAAACTTTTCAAGCAGCAATTACAGCTAATTCTCATTCCTCATCCTTGAGGCAATCAAGGGACTTAAGACAAGAGGGGACTCACGATAAAGAAGCTAAAAAGGACATAAACTATGAGGTGGTTCAATAAACAAACACTCTAGACCCCTTATGCTGCAGTCTCCATCCTGAAGGCAATGCCAAAATTCAATGGTCTTTAGTACATGCAGTAGTTCAGCACAGAAAGAGCCAGCGGAGTGAAGGAAAGGATTATTTTCTTCTGCTCCCGTATTTCATTTGGAGTAAGAGCTCCAGGATGCTCCGGTTAAGTTTTTCACTTGCTGTGATGGCATCCCTCTTGCAAGTATATTCCAAAATCCTTGCCTCCTGCCATGCCACTCCTGCAGGGGAGTGAAGAGGCCTTTGCTGGCATCCCTGAAGATGCAAACCTCTACACCAAGGCCAATATTTGTCTATTTGCCAAAGAGATCAGCAGAGTGTCTGACCTGATAACAGCCCAGCAGCACCTGCCTACAGTCGCAAGCCATTTCTGGGAGAAGACAACTTCCTCAAGGGGAGCTCTGTGCATTTAGCAAAGCAATGTGCCAGAGGCTGCAGTGGCAGCTAGGTCTTAACACTGATTTCTTACAACCTGAACAACAGAACAAGAGCTCAGTCACGCAGTATGGACAGACCCTCCCTGGAGATGGAGTAGGTGAACACCTAGCCTCCTCTGGTCTAATCCTTGCTGCCTGTTACTCTGGAGGAAAAAAGAGACCTCCAGCCATGCCAAACAAGCTTCTACATGAGTGTTGAACAAACTGCAAGAGTGGCCTATTTTTGCATCTGCACGATGTCCCTCTCCTTAGTGCCCCCACAAAGAGTTTTGCAAAGATTGATCATTTTAAGAGTGTGTCGGTGAAACCCAGCTCCCCAGCTCGGGTTGTCTAATACCACATTTGCAATGCTTCAGAGGACAGAGCTTTTCCAAATCCCTCAGGGCTCAAAGGCTAATTTAGGCCAGCATCTGGAGTTTTACAAGACATAGACAAGATAGTGCTCTAGTCCTTCTCTCTTCCCTTTCTTATAACCACAGTACCTGACACTGCCTGAGAAGCAGCACAGAGGAGGTGCTCTGGGAAGAAGTTGGGGTTACAGCACAAGGCTGGACCTTCCCTCGTGCTGCTCAGATGTGTGGCAGAGTCAAAACAAAACCATACAACTATTATCTGCTCTTCTCTGCCAAATGGGGCCCTGAATCCCAGTGCAGAAGTACTCCCTATCCAGCACTGGCAGTGCTCCATAGCAGCAGGGAGGGCCAGGGCTAAGGAGGTGCCAACAAGGCCTCCAAGATGGGCTTGGAGGCAGGTGGGTCTCCCAGACCTGTCCCATGGCTAGAAGTGTCCCAGATGTCAGCATAACAGCTCAGGCAGAAGTCAGTAGTGTGCAAAGAGCCTGGGGAAGTTGCGCAGGGCCTTTTGCTGCACTCCTCAAAGCATTGAAAAAGCTGTCCTGCAAATCCTGAATAAAAGTGAGAAGGCAGCAAAAGGAGCCACTGACCCAAACCAAGGCAGTCAACAGGGGAGAAAGCAGGCCAAGCTTTCAAAGTCATCTCAAAATCCAGTCATCCACCCTCAGCTGCAGGCTAAGACTCGAGCACGTATGGAGCCAAGAGCACCCTCGGTTCCAGCTGGAGCCAGCCTGTCCTCTGCAGTCCAGAGCACTCGGAGCCAATAGTTACCAGCATCTAGATGATCCCCTTCCTGCTGTGCTGAGTATCTTTTGACCTGGCACACGTGCCCACCCTTTCTTGCCAAGGAGTCATCTGCAGCAGCTCATGTCACCTTCAGGGGACTATGACACCTGGAAAGAAACCCAGAGACCCCTCCCCTGCCACAGTTATGTAGCAGGGCCTCAAAGACGAGGAGTGAAGGCATGTTGGTGTCAGCCAGCTCAGGCAGGGAGCAATCATTTCCTGCATGAGTAGGAAGCAAGGGGCCTTCTCTGATTCCCAGGATCACAGGGGCGCAGTAGCTAATGGGGAGCTCAGCCCCTTGCTCCTCCACATGCTGTGAACAGGTGCAATGATGTGTTTGTGAGGCAGCAGCCCTCAGGCAGGCTGCAGCACAAGGGGCCAGGAGCCAAACTGCCCCCAGGCTACATCAGGAAAGGGGGGGATTTCAGCCCTCCACGCGTCCTTGAAGTTGGGCCTCTGCAGAAGCCTGTTGTCTCCAAACGTTTTGGACGGGCAGTTACTAGCTGACATGACAGACCACTATAGGGTTTTCTGAACCTAAACTAACACGGCTCTGATTCTGCATGTACTCATTCACCTCGTGTACTCTGACTGACTTCTAAAATACTGCACATGAATTCAGGGCTGGCTCAAGAACATTTGTACTGGAGTAGCTCTCACCAATACATTAGGGAGGTCTGTGGCTAAACAAGCATTGAATGCCTAAAATTTCTGAATTTTTGCAAATCATTCACCTACTTTGGGAACTACCTAGAGACTAACATGGAAAGATGAAGTAATCCTCTCGCTGTAGGAGAGAAACAAGATGGTTTAACTAAGAGTCCTGCACCTAGCACAGCCAGAACCTATATGTACTGAACCCTGGTGCTCCAACTCCGTAACACTCTCCCGTTTGCTCCTTTTCCTGATAACATTCACCTCCAAAGCCTCGCACAGGACATGTGAACCTCCCACACTCTCCAGACTCCCTGACGCTCACCCCAGGATACTTGAGCTTGCTAAAGAATAAGCATCAAGGTAAAAGTCATACCTTCGGAGGATCCACAGGGTAGAGCATGACTTCAATATCATCAACAGGTTTTTAGATTTTAATTACCTGTTTATTCACCCAGGAAAGCTGGCTAGTTTGTAAAGCCATGAGTACCCCCCGTCCCCTGCCAAAAGCATGACCTCCCCAAGGCTCGAAAAAGCTGACCGAAGATCAGCGCACCCAAATTTCTTGTTCTCCTCAAAAATCTCAGTGGCTCCAAAATAAGTCTCACAAGTCCAGGCAGCCTGGCTGTTTCTTCCCCATTGGTTGAGATTTGCAGCACAACTTTCCTCCAAGCCTCAGGCTAAATTGCCTCCCAAAATTATCATCCTAACCCCAGTCAGCACATCTGCGGGAGGCAGTGAGCCCCGCGGCAGGCGGGAGGCGGCAGCCGCACTATCTGCCCCCGTCCGCCTCCCAGCGCTGCTGTTGGCCCCGCTGTGGTCTTCACAGCGGCCTCGCCAATGAGCGTGTGTAGGAAACAACCGGCCAACCAACCACCTAATTAATACAGAAAATGCAGCAGCCAGGACAGGAATAAGCTGCGGGAGGAAACGCCAGGAATACCAGGAGCTGCTGCTGCCAGCAAACTCCCTGGTGTTGTGATGTCCTGGTTTTACCCTGGCCAGGGGTGCAATGAAGGGGATGGTGAGGACAAGGCAGATTTCAATGCTGCTTCTGTCCCCGTTGGTCAGGAGATCCTGAGCCAGCAGCTGGACGGCACCCGTGACCCACAAATCCCCTGAGCCAGACCAGCGGGTCGCTACCCTGCCTGCTCTTCCCCTCACCTCTCACCCGGCAGCAGAGACAAACACCAGAAACAGCAGCAGAGAGACCCTGTGCCTCAGCTCAGCCTCTGAAAACACGGGCTCGGATGGGCACCGTGGTGGATGTACGCGCCCTAGTCTGCAGCCGGGCTAAAACCCTGCTGAATCGGGGCTCCACCTCCACAACCAGGGACCTGTCTCTGCTGTTACACCAAAATCACCAGTATATTTTCAAGTGCAAATCCTTTACAAGCAAGGGCTGGCAGGGCTGTCGGAGCAAGGAGATGTGCTATTCCTCCCCTGAAAACAAACCCGACTTCCAGTTATTCTAGGGCAAACTCAAAAGGTTTTAATTTTTTTTTTTTTTTTTTTTTAGCAAATTCTATCACATAAATGTTAACAAAAACATCTGTACAATTGCCATGATACACTCAAAAGTGAAACAAATAAGATATAAATACAGATATGGATGTAACATGACAAAAGCGGAAAAATAGAAAAAAATACATGCGCATGAACACAGTGCCAACAAAATCATTTTTTATGGCTGGCATTTTTCAGAGCAGTTTTTACTTCCCATTTAAAACATTATTGTTAGCAACATCCTGCTGTACTCTACAAAGATCTATTTTTCTGTCCCTTAATATGTAATATTATGCTTGATAAATAAAGGGGTGGGGAGAAAAGGTTTCGATGACAAAGATGGGAGTTACATTACTTATACAGGTTATTGGTAAGCTAGTAATAAGCAATAAAAAAAGACAGTCTTGTATTGTATTGTAATTCAGGCAAGCACACATAGTGTACCTTAAGAAAGCCACATGCCTCGATAATTCTGCACTACATGAGAACTATAGTACGTAGGACTGTGGGGGCAGATGTATCCGTTATTTGCCCATGCCCACGGAGCACTGGTGCAGCCAATGGCAGAAAAAACATCCACATCTGAGATTTCGGCAACCTTACAGCCAGGAGCCACTGTCTGCTGAGAGTTTTCTCCCATTCAGACTTCTTAAGCATGGTGGGCAAATAATTTTTTTTCTTTTTTTTTTCTTTTTTTTAAAGATACGAAAAATCAAAGCCCTACATAATGGGCAGCAAGAAAAAAAAAAAAGGCAGCTGCAGTAGGTGGCTACTGCTGGGAAAACATGAACACAAGCTCCACCGTCACGGTGAGGCACTGCCAGCATGCAGATCTTCCTCTGCAAACGTGCGTGGATACTGTCTGATTTGTAGCCAGAGAGACCTTTATGCTTGCTAAAGAAAAAACAAAGTGATTGTACAGCTTTCAGAAATCAGAACACTGCAGATCAGAGAGGTGACATTCAGAGCTAGCCCTTTGAGTACTTCAAAGGAAAGGAAAAAAAAAAAATCAAGTCATGTTCAACATACTAAACAACTATGTACATTATACGCAAATGATTTATAAATACCTAAGCAGAACGCTCTCTACTGTATACAGGTATAACAGACTTCTAGAGTACTCAAAGGATGAACAGTCCTTGATTGACTCATGTAAAGAAATAAAGTAACACACTAATGAGCATCTGTTGACAAACAGAACAGAATCTGATCAAGAAAGTAAGGCCTGGTTCTACCATTTGCAGCCCCAAATGTGCCAATAGTTTCTGAAAAATACATGCTCATCCCTGGAGTCTCAAAGCAGCAGCAGCAGATTTCACACGTATTTCTGAAGGATGAGCTGTTAATTCCTACTGTAGTGTCAGCGCACGTGCTAGGGTCAGTTCAGGGACATTAATTACAGTGCGTTCACTTTCAGTGCATACTAACAGGATTTTATAAAATATATAAAAACACTGGGGAAGGAATTCAATTCCTGGAGACTTGCTACAGTGTGCCATTCAAAAACAAACAAAAAGCAAGCAGTGATGGAACAAGATCCACCACAGCTGGAAGGGGCTAAATGCCATCCAGGCAGCTATGCCGACCTTCTGAACCCCAGGACTGGGGCAGAAGATGCTTAACTGAGATGGGGAGAAAGAGAGGCATAAATACTGAGCAGTTAGAGCACAAATAAAAAAAAAAAAAAACTAATAAAAATTCAAACAAGACAGCTAACTGCTGCCAACATGTCAGCTGAATATTTCCTCAAAAGGAAAAATAAATTCATGTTAAACTAAAATAATTTCAATTATTCAAAAAAAAAAATTCTAACAAGCGTACTGAAAGATGATGGTAAAGAATGGTCCACAGAAAGGGCGACACTGACCACGGAGCAGCCAACGTAATCGCAACGGCCTCCTCTAGCGGGGATGGCTTTATCGAGCCTGCAGGAAGACCTTGGGGGAATCCCACACACCAGGGTCACAACAGTTTACTCCTGTTGTAGCATTATGCATCAGGAAAGATGAGGGAATTAGCCCTGCAGCTAGTGAAAGCCTGGACACGTCCTGAGAAACTCAGGAGCAGGTCACCTCTCCTGCTCTCACTTTGGCAGGGAAAGGGGCCAAAAAGCTCCGCAGGCCCATCCTGCCCAGCCCCGCCAGAGCTGGGTACTCGGAGGGGAGCGGGTGCCGCAGAGCACCTACCAGCACAGCTCCTTGGGGGGTGCAGTGGACTGGTGCTCAGCCACCCAGGCACAGATGGATGGGACGGGAGGACAGCAGGCCTTCAGCCTCCCTGCTGCAGTACCAGACGCTCATGTTGCCTGTATGCTGCTGAGGTGGCCCTTCAGCTCCCCCCGGGGAGGGCTGGAAGGAGACCAGGGCACCAGGAGCAGCCAGGGAGCACATATGTCCTGCAGGTCCATCTTCTCATGCTGCTGGCTCTAGGAGCAAAACCCAGTTCTGACCCACCCCAGGTCAGGGTAGGCCTCTCCATCAGCCAGGATCCAGCCCGGGACCAAACGCAGCGCACACGTTCTCCTGCTTCCTCCAGGTTACAGCAGCAGCAGGGGAGCTCACCCTCTGCAGACAGGAGGCTCTCCTGTCGGTAGAGGATGGTGCCACAGGGCATTCAACGGTTGCTGCTTTGTTTCCAACTTCATCTCGCTCAGTTTGTGAAAGGATCTGTCCCCAGAGGTGCCCTCAGCTAGGATGGCGCCCAGAGCACCCTGCTGAAGCCCCCGCGAGGGTGCTGCACACTCCTCTGAAGCGCTAAGCACCCAGCAGGAGTGTGTGGGGCTGGCCGGGAAGGAGCAGGTTTCTGAAGGTAGGCAACAGCACTGCAGGCTCTTCAGGCACAGGAGGGGAGCTGTAGCAGGCAACTGGCACTAGTCCAGCCAACCCCCACAGCGGGCACTTCCACAGGGGCATTTTGTCCAGTTTAAGATTCCCTTTCTGTCCTCTGGGGTGAACAATTTGCCCACAGCACACAGGAGTAGCAGGGATGAACAAGACCACTTACCACCCGACACCAACGGGTCTGGTCACAGCGGCAGGTCAGCCCTTTAACGCTACAGACTTCAGCAAAAATACAGCTTGCCTTGCAAGGCAGCACTAAGATCCAGCCTTGCCAGCTCTGATTGCAACCCACGGGTGTGCTCAAAGCCCAACACAACACCCAAACTCCAGTGTCAGATCACAGGCATCAGTCCTAGAGCCGTGTCTCCAGCTCCCTTTGATGAGGAGTTACAGGTCACCTGACATGCCTTTTGAGCACAGGAGAAAGAGTCGGGTGGGAAGAGGGAAAATATTTACAAAGTCAATGAAAGTAGCAAGAGCCCAGCTGTTTCACAAAGTACAGCTGGCTGGAAAGCAGATGCAGAGAAATCAGCCCATGAGAGGTCTGTCAGAACTATGTACAAAACTCAGATGTTTAAAAAGAACCTACTTTTTCATTACTCATTTGCTATCTCTCAGTATTAAAGCATCGGAGGCTGGAACCACAGCCCTAGCTGCAAAGATCTCCTCATGGAGGATCCTGCATGTCAGGCAGGCTGCAAGGAGGACGGACAAAACGGGATCGCAAGAGACTGGTAAGGAGAGGAGAATCCAGCCGGCACGGCCAAAGTCACAGGGAGAGAGCACGTAACTAGCGCACAGAAACCAAAACTGAGCGTAAACTAAAATAACAAGATTTGTTTGACCTTTATGCGTGTCCACTTTTTGGGACTCTGTTTTGGAAAACTAACCTAAACATATTTCAGAGATTTCAGCAGGCTATACAAATATGTTTAAGTATGGCTTTCTGTTGTTCACTTTTTCTTTTTCTTTTTTTTTTTTTAAAATGAAGACTGCAACACAGACCTTGCTTCCTTTACATTCAATACCAATAAGATTCTACATAAAAGCTTCAAGGGACTAAAATACTGATTGCAATAAATATCTGCATGGCCTCCTTAAGCTGATGGAGTGCGCCAGTGAAGTAAGAGTAGCAGAAAGGTCTCTGAGAGGCACCGCTGATTGCTTCTAAGTCTACACATGTCCAGATATCTTCATTAACTGTGCGTTGAAACATCTGAAGAGGAACTGCTGTTGCTATTGGTAGTCTGGGCCCTCTTTATGTACAAGTTTAGTAGCTTCATCTGAAAGAGACAACAAAAAAAAAAATCAGAAGATGCCGCCAGCAGAACAGACAAGCAAAATTGACTGGAAATCTTAAACTCATGTTCTCTAGGGAACTGCTTTGAATGAGCTGACACCACACCAGGCTCTCCAGATGAAAAACAGAAGCAAAACTGAGTATTTCGAAATATACAGGAGCAGAATCCTGGTCCCACTGAAATTATAGCCAGATTTAATGGGATTTTAAAAATTTGTTGTGCTTCATTTCAGCAGCTGTCCCTCAGGGCGTGAGCCCCGATCCTGCAGTCTGCTTTAGGTGAGCAGGATTCCCTCAGAGGTCAGTGGGGCCGCATGTAGACACTGAACCTGGTCACGCACCAGCGATCTGAGCACCATGATCCCTCCTAGGAAACACTCTGAATTCTTCGTGCTTGGGGAGCCCAATGGAATTCATTTTGTTCCATTTAAAATGTTCCTTTTCCATCATATATTTAAAGTCTTCACTGACTTGGTAAATCTAGTGAAACTGTTACGACAATATACTGCCTTTGCATGGGTTTGTTGTTTTTCCGGCCTTACCACCTTCTCTCCGGATCCTGCAATGACTCATGCACAAATTCAACTTTAAACACGCAGGCAGTCCGCATAAACTGAGAGGAATTATGCACATGTTTAAAGATACTTATGCAGCACAGTAAGTCTGTGGCACCTAAATGATGGGATAATAAAATTTCTACAACACTTTGATGGGGGATTCCCAGCTGCTCAAGTATAAATGAGGCAAAGCGCAGCTTTCTCTTTTTCCAGAGGGATATTGAAGTAATTTGTTTAAAGACAAGGCAACTCTATTTAGAAACAAAATCCAAGTGTGCTGGGTCTCAGATTCTGTCTTAACCCACATCCCGCTTCCTAACTGCAAAAGAAATTACTTGCTTGGAAATAACAAAATGAAGGCCTCTGAACTAAGTAACTATCTCCACGTGGAGCTCTATTTCGGAGACAACAATGCAGAATTCATCTCAAATTTGCAGAGAAATCTCAGCCTCAAGACTTCAAACAGAAAAAGGAATCTAGCAACAGCTTCCTGAGCAGTTTTGAAGAGCAATCAAACACCATCACCTTCAAAGCAACATCCCACATCTTGTCTGAAGAACAGAGGCGAGTTAAGCACTTCATTTCACTGGTAGCATCAGCTCAGAATTTGAGTTTTGCTGCTATCTTGACTCCTGGCCACAACAGTCTTCAAAGGGTCACTTGAGTTAGCTGGTCTCACAGGAGGAAAGGGGCACAGCTGCTGTGCTGTTAAGAGTGAAGTCTTCCCTGCATTTCTATCAGCCCTAATCATGGCCTGCTGCTGAAAGGGGGGGCAAGGGGGGGGGAATCCTGCTCTCCCTCCCAATCCAGCCACGCATTCCTACTCTCCTTGCATCGGATTAACTATGCAGCCTCAGAAGCAGACTTGAAAGCTAATTAATTTTTATTTATGGCTGGTTTTCATCCAGAGCAGCCCGCTGCTCAAGCTCACTGCATAGTCACCTCTGGATGTAGCACAGAAGGGGCAAGGTAGGCATGGCTGGAGTGGGAGTGGTGAAGGACTGGCTCGCTGGTGGCAGCTTGCATTACGCAGGATTAAATGCAACATGAAACTGATCCCTGAATCCCCTCCAGGCTCTCTCAGTGGGGTTTCGAATGCTCACACTGTGGAGCAAGCGCTGTGCTGCTCTAGTGGTGTTCAGCAGTGTGAGCTAGACTAACTCATTAAGATTTAACTGAGCACAGGGAACTTGACCCAGCACCACTGTGAAACTACTGCTCTTACTGCTAGTAGCGCGAGCTGTTCAACTGGCTGTTGTCAAAATATCAAAGAGGCGTTACTTTTATACCTTGCTTCCCGTGAGTTGTGCGAGATGAGGTTTCAGTTCTTCTCCAATTACCGAATAAATTGCCACTAGGCAAAACACACTAGCTTTACGGACACTGCTCTCCGTATTATCATAACCCTAGAAAACAAGAAACAAGAAAGGTCACAAATCAACCAGCTTGCCAACATCCTTCCAAAGCAATATGCTAACGAGCTGATGAATACTTCGCAAGTGCAGCCACAAATCTAACAAAATACATCACATCAACAGAAAGGCCCCACTTAGCGTTTGAAAGTAAGAGTTTGAATACGTTCACCAAATATGTCCCATTTGTTAAAGTTAATAATGTGTTCTTGTTTAATGATCTAAATAACATAGGTTCCCAACACAAGCTTGTAAAGCTTAGGACTCCATCAAATACATACATTCCTGTGTCCAGTTCAGATGACTGGATGGTTGGGACTTAACTTGTTCAGTAGACTTTTTCTTCTTATTTTTAAATACAAAATAAACATTCAGCCCTTTGAAAGCTGAAAAGCAGCAGGACAAAGTGTTTATCCACTACTGAAAGTTCTACAACAGCCCTACCAACGTTGCTTGCTCCTATGCCCAGGGGAGGCTTCCTAGCGCTCCCAGCTTGTCTTCAGGAAAGAGTCTTTCCTGACGCAGATCCAGCTCAGTGGAAACTCACATGTTGAAAGCTGACCACTCCTGAGAGCAAAGCTACAGATGGAGACTAATTTTGCAGCAAAATGGCCTAATGGTTAGCTCACTCAGGATATGAAACCTTAAATTTTCTTTTGTGAAGTGTAACGTGCACCTCGGATGGAATAGCAGTATCCAGGCATTAGAAATAGCAAAAAGTCATCATCATAATGGATTATTTTCCAGCCTTTTAAAAGCATTGTGCATTAACACTGCATAGCCGTGCTACACATGTGTTAGTCCATTAGACAAACTGATTCTGTAGCTGCAAGCTTTTTGATTACCTATGAGGCAGGAACCACCATGAGAAAGAGCATGAAAGGCCACAGAAGGTGTGCCAGACCTTAGGCATCTACGGGAGAGCTCAAACTAGCCACGAGGTCACTTGACAGCTCATGACATCAGTTCTGTACTCAGGCAGTGATTTATCACTAAGCTGCGATCCCAAGAGAAATACACCGATCACTCCAGCATGCTGGACGCTGCTTCCTCTGGACGCAGGGTGACCTCTGCCAGGAGAGCTGAGAGGACAGACCCTGCTCAGCTGGGGGTAGGGCTGTCGGGCTGCCCACCAGCAAAACCCCAGCAGGTAGGCTAGCAAGGCAGACTAGTCACCCCAAGGCAGCCAGGGCTTATCACGGAAACAACACCTACGGGCCTGGGCTCTCCATGCAGAAGGAAAGCTTGCCCTAGGCTGGGGCTGGTCCCTCAGAGCTTCCGTGTTTCTCAGATGTGTCAAGGGGGTGTGGGATAAATAAGTTACCCAAGGCCAAGAGAGCCTTCGCTGACCCTACAGCTGAAATCGCCAGCTCCTCCAGCAGCCCGAGTCAGAGGCAGCGCCGCACAGCCTCACCCTCCCAATGCGCCCTGACAGCCGCCATCGCCCAAGCCGGGCTGTGCTATGTGTCCCGACGGCTCCTCTCTACGGGTACAGAAGGGGGAGATCTGCTACAGAAGGTGACCCTTGTCTTTGTGGGCCCCTAATCCAGACCCCCTGGGCTCCCTCCCTACTCTGCACCTCACAGCGCTTCTCAGCTCTGCCAAGTCCAGACCAGGACAACCCCATGTCCCCAAAGCTTAGCTTTCAGGCAAAGAAGGCACACTAAGGGAGGTGCAAGGTGCTCCGAGCAGGAGCCGGCTGGGATGATTAGAGACCAGGACCTGGCACGCTCTGCAGACTACAACCATGGTCAGTCTGGAGGCAGCCCTGAAGGCAAAGGCCACTGTCACGAGAAACCCTTGTCAAAACAGCAGCAGGGGGTGGGATGCCTCATTCCTTTTGCAGCACTTGCATACCACCAAAAGCTTTAGCGCAGGCCTATCAGTGCCCTGTCTCTGCCCCCGCGCTGCACTCCAGCCACTAGGTAACACGGCCAGGCCTCTTCTCACTTTCCTGCCTTAAGGTTGCATTCCTTGCATTTCCTGCCTTAAGGCCTGCTGCAGCAGGAGATGTGGACAGCGCCTCATCCCGCAGCGGCCTGGTATGCTGCCAGGGCACAGCTTCTGGGAAGGGGCCCAGGCTTTCGCCAGGCTCAGAGGACTATGAGCGCTACGACTAACTGCAGCTACAGCAGCAAAACAACAAGGGGCTGTCAGGTTTAGTTCCGTCTTTCACCAATACAAGATGTTTCTACTCCAGGCTGGCTGCTTGTACAGCTACGATTGCTGCCTCTGCAGGGTGGGTTTCCCGAAAGAGCCAGAGCTGTGACCAAGGACCCTGCAATGCTCCCACCAAACCCACCTAGAGTGCTGCGCAGCAGTCTGCCTTGTTCTTGCCTTGCCCCTCATCTAGAAACTCGGGCCAGAGAGATGCCACTCGGGGCTGCTGAGCTGCGCACATGCATTCACACTACCACTATTTGACACTTCTCATCATTTAGTCACTCCATTACCCTCACCTAGGTAAACAGCTGTGCAGGTGATTTGCTCTGCACAAAATCTTTCAGCCTGAAGGATCCTAAAGCACTTAAACAGAAGGCGTGGATTCACATAATCACTATGAGTTTCTAACGCATGGAAACATTCACCAGCAGCTCTGAGATTAGTAGTCACAAACTAGGCTCCAAAACAGTATTTAAAACAGAGAAGCAATGTAATAAATACAACTGTGCTCTTTTCAAAGGCACACTGCTCCAGAACTTTTCTGGTGCATTGAGGCTAGTCCAAATTTATTTCCCAGTGATTACAGCTAAAAACTCTTCACAATGAAAGTGAAGATCAAAACAGAATTGCCCAATTCCCAGAGGCTGGGATTTAAGAGAAGAATTGCAAGAGCGGACATTACACCAAAGATGGGACAAATGCTGCAATGCACAAGAGGAATTTCTGACTTTGCTCTTGTCCTTCAGCTTTCTAGGCTCACTATAAGGAGGTTTCTTTATACCAGTTCTCCAGTGAAAGTCTTACCCACCAAAACACGCCGCCCCCTTCACACTGACCAATTTGTTCCTGTCATAATCCCTCCCCAACGCACACACACACATATTATTTCTCCTCTCTTCTTGCTGCTATCTAATTTCCATCTCGCTTCCACCCTTATTCCAGTCCCTAGCACTGCCAAGCTGCTTGTGCACGGGAAGAGAATACAATTCCAATACAGCCAGCACTGAAAGCTAAATTCACATTGTAAGACCAAGCCTTAGCACTGGCAAAAATACAGCTCCCCACTCAGCTTGAGAGAGGGTTGTGAAAGAGGCTGAATGCAAGTCAGGAATTTGGTCCCCTGATTTCAGAGAGAAAGGAGGAAGGACTATCCAGCCTGCAGGGATTCAAATTCAAATGCAAAGTACAATCAAAATGCAGAACAGCTCAGCAGAACAAAAGGAGACTGCAAGATGTGCTGCTTGGGGTGTGCTGTAACTGCACAACAGGTAGCTAATCCCTGCTCAGTAAGTTTATTGTATGGCTGCTACTGACTTCTTTAGGAGCCTGGCCAAGGCTTCTAACTGTGGAATGCCAACACAGGAATCTGAGTTTTCCTCTCCTTCTCCTTAATGCATTAAAACAATATCAAAAACTCAAAGATATAAAAACTTAGAGGGATTAAAACTAATTTACCAGAATCTGACCCAGAGGGTCCATCGTTCTCTCAGGTTACACGCCTTAAATATTAATCAATCATGCTTTGTGCTTGGGAGCATATGTGACATGAGATTCTGTACCTGTAACAATCCAGGAATAATATCAGGAAGGAGCTGATGCAACGATTCCTTAGAAATCCTCTCAATGACTTTTGTCTGCATTTTGATGGCAGCTAAGTTAATTGGATAATCTGCAGTTTGAATGATGGGGCAAAGCACTTTGATGCACTGCTCCGGGTGGATGGAACTAGCCAGGGTAGAAGCAGCTTCCTCAGCAGCTCTGACGACCTGGAATGAGAGCAGAACAAAACCTTACATTAATGAGTTCATACTTCACAGCCAAACTAGGAATGACTGCCAGGAAACACTCAGGGATGTTCATTAACGGATCCACAGGAGGCTCTGCTGAGAAGCAATCAACTTGGAGAATTAGTGTCCTTTGCCTCCAGTGACATATTTGTTCCAAGTAGACAGCAAAGAGGAAATCATATCACTTAAAGTAACTGTGTCAAAGCTGTGGTTAGTTTGAAAGAGTCTAACATCCCACTCTAAGCCAGGAAAGATGGGTACCTCCCATAGAGGGGAAGCAAGTAGATAACTTCTCTCCAGCCACTGTCAGGAAACATGCTTAGATTTAAATACTAGATTTAGCTCCTTAAACATTATAATTAACAAGAACCAGTGTAGCGCACTCTAACATGCACCTGACTTGCTGAGTGCTTGGATGCCCAAGCAGAGACACCTGTGCCCACGAAGATGTGTCCTGCCACTTCCCACCTAAGCTCTGCTGTAATCAAACCCACGCTATAGAGGCAAACAAGCTTTCAGATGTCCCTGACCAGATAGCTGTGCTCTGAGCACATTTATCACACTAAGGCAGCACTGCAATCACAGTAGAGCACGGGAGAAAGTAGTAGTAGAAACAGTGGTAGCATTTCCATTTTGCAATTAGCCTACGCTTCACAGTGAAGAAGAGGGAGACCTGGATTCAACTCTGTTCTTAGCCTCAGGGAAGGTAAATACAGATCTTTCACTCTTTACTCCAGTGCGTAGGACAGCTATCTGGGAGAGGAAAGACCAGATTTTGGTCTCCCCTCCTGTAAGAGTTTATTCATTTTACATTCCACAGTAACCGGACAAAAAAGGCAGAATGGGAAGGCAGGTTTCCTCCTTTCAAGTGTCTGTGCTAACTGCCAGGCCATAAAGTCACATTTCCCCTTGGTTGCCTTCCTCCTGGCCACAAACCACATACTCCTTGCTCACCATATTCCTGATTCAGTACAAAGGGTAGAGAATGCTTTTACCCATCTCTTCCCACTCCCCAATTCTTGTTGTGTTTACCATCAAGGGTGGGAATATCAGAGTGGTAGGGGTGCCCTAACGGACAGAATTAAATCAGACACCTCAGCTCTAGGAAAGATTCACACATCTTTGTGCTTAGCATTTCCTGGCTAGCCCCAGGCAGCCCCCAGCTCCAAGCCTAGCAGCACCACATAGCCTGTGAAGGCACCTCCTTCTCTTTCCTGACTGCATGGGAAGCTCAGGTGCCTAACACAGGTCCTCTAACTCATCCCAAGCCAGAGACTGTGGGTGTCAATCAAGTCACAGGTCTCCCATTACTCAGGCTCAAACCACAGCTGCTGCTGGACTCTCCTTTCCCCTCTTCCACACACTATCATGGTATCAAACTCAGATTTCTCTTTGACCAAGGCTACAGCCCGTAGACAGGTCTGTGGCTCATCATGGCTACAACACAATCATTACTCTTTTACTTATATTGATAGCTGCCTCACTGAAACAGCTGCAGCTCAGGTGTGCATCTGAGAAACAACAAAACTCATCCACTTCTCTTGGCATCCTCCAAAGCAAACCTGACAATGAAAGTTATCTAAGATACCTCACGTAGTACAAATACTGCATGCGGGCAAGGTGCAGCCAGGATTACGAAGCAGACATGAGAAACCTCGATTGCTTCTGTATCAGTGCCCCTTTTACAGGAGAAAAGATCTAATGCCATAGTTTGGTACCGCAGCATTGAATTGCTGGCATGGATAAAGTCAGGAGTTCCCAGGTGGTCTCTATTGAATCTGAGGAGATTTCCTTTAAAGGAATCCACTTCTTGGCACAGCAGCTTTTGACATAGCCTTTCCCAGTGCTGAAAAACCAGTAGCATCAAGCTTTCTGCAAACAATGCAATGGAATTACAAGAAGGCCCAGAAAACTTGTAATCAACTTAACATTCATGAGTAAGTCCTTTTTGCTTAAAAAAAAAAAAAAAAAAAAAAAAAAAACACCCACGTAACTATTTGGACACAGGCTGCTTGGGATTTTACTTTGCTACAACTCCAAATACTGTTAGTACATGTTTTCACAGACACTCTGAAAAAGAAAAGTTTGAACATATATCACAATGTACTAAAAGCTTTTTTTTTTTTTTTTTTTTTTTAAAATCCTCCTGATACCTTACTTGATAAGGAAGCAACAATATTTTAGTAAGCACTTCAGGAGAGATTCTGATCTCAAATACAGTACTGTAAATTTGGAGTAGGTGAAAAAAAACAATAAGCAATTCTAGTTGGGCTTTAGCCCTGCATCCCATTTGCATTAAAGATTACCATGAACATTTAAGTTGCAGGTATGAGGCAAGCGTATTAGAAAACCTTCAAAAGCCTGTTGCTAATTCCAAGCGCAAGGGGTTAATATGGCTGTAATTTTTCACAAAATGAGCCAGAGTTCAAATAGCAAAGGCCATACAGATTTTGCACACCATAAGCTCATCAAGAGAAGTTGTAAGTGTGCCAGATTATTTGTGCCTGTGCAAGTCCTCCTTTCACCAAACCTGCCTCTTTCTAGCAAGGATCTGACTGCATTTGCACAGCAGGGTGGTACTTCAGATCACTTCACCATGAAGTGCATTTCCTCTAAATACAGAAGGGCATATTACAGAATACGTGTCCTGTAAATGGGACAACATCAAGGAGATTTCCAAGTCTTGTGCGAGCACATCTGGCAGGCAGTATCTCCATCTAAGCCACGCTTCGGCAAGCCCCTTAAGCATATGTTTAACTTTAATAACATGCTTAACTCTCACTGACGTCAATGGGATTCAGGCATGTGCTTACATGCTTGCCTGAATCGGAGCTTCTGCAGGTAACCAGCTCCCTGCTCCACTGGGAAGGAACAGCAGGGGACAGAAGGGAGGATGGGCTGGGGCAGGACCAGCCGAGAGCAAGCCAAAAGGACAAGCTCTGCCCTCGTTGATCTTTGCTGGGACAGAAAGCTGAAATGCAACCATTCTGCATTTCCAGCAACAGCCCCGTCCAGGTCTTTTCTTCTGGCTTTGACAGAACAAAGCACTTGGCCACCCAGACAGGGACCCTGCATCCACAAGGGAGAGAACGGCTCTGGGTACTTACATGGTGCTCTCAAGGAGTCACATTCAGCTAGCAATGCCAGAGAAACCAGCAGTGTTCCCGCAGAGAAGGAAGCGCATTATCAAGAGATACAAACTGCCCAGTCATTTGGCAACAAGAGAATGCAGTTATAGCTGAGTTTACTGAAGCTCACTTGCTGTGAGGCACAACACTCATGTCTTGCAGACCATACACATCACATAACATCAAAAAAAATTTTATAATCAGGAATTTAACCTGACCAGCAGAGTGAAACGATCTTAAAATGACTGGGAGAAATGAGCAAACAGCATCAAGCAACAACAGTTCTTCCTCCTATCTTTGGAGAGGAGATCTATAGATATACATCCGGAAGCAATAGGAATAGCCCTATTAGGCTCAGACTAACTGCAGACACCATAGGAGTTAGCAGTCATGAAACGCCACCCTTTGAATTCAAGAAAAATAAATATTGCTCTTTGCTACATGCTCAGACTGGAGCGCTCACTGTCACAAGAGGACACAGATACTAAATAGATTTAAAAAAAATCAAACAAACTCCTGGAAGAAAATCCATCAAGGGCCAAAGAACACAGAAGGGCAGACAGAACCTTCAACATGGGAAGGCTGTCAGCTTCAGACAGCTAAAAGAAGGGAGAGTATCCTCAGGGAAGCATCATTGTATGCTTGCTTCTTGCTAGTCATTGTCAGAAGCAGTGTATCAAGAGAAGTGAACTTTTTGTCTGACCTAATATAGTTATTCTCGATGATCTCAGAAATGTGAACGAAAAACAGCAGAGTCGTCAAGTAACAATGACAGCTAGAAGCAGCAAGTTCAAAAGGGTGGCTATGAAGCAAGATCTGCAAGACTGGAGAGAGCCTGCAGTGTTTTAAAAACAATGACACTATAAGCTGTGTATAGGGTATATCACAAACATGATTTTACCTCTCAGTAAAAGCTTAGAGCAAACCACGGTACGAACTCAATAGTCTGATGCCATTCAAAGGGCAGGTAGCCCAGGAATGCAGATCTAAGAGATAGCATTTCACTTTAAAAGAAGCAGGTTTTTCTTCTTTCCAAATGCTTACCTTATGCTACATGCTAGAGACTAGATTGAGCCTGACTTCTGCTGGCATAACATAAACTGGATTCCTTGAAAGAGGAACACACTAAACCCTTCCAGTGAGTTCTCCCAAGAGAACTGGTTATAATCCCACCTAATTTGCTTTGGGGAACAAACCATTTTCACCTGCATGGATCCAGAGAGACAGAGGTAAATAGACTACATGTCTAATGTCTTTTTTTAAAACTGTAAAGGAGTAGCTTAAAAGTTAAGAGTCAGACAGTCCCAGGAATGTGTATGAAATGCTTTCTGATTTCTGTAGGAGAGGACATGTGGATGTGCAGTATTAGGAACAGTGTGATAAAGAAAGCCACCTGCCAGAGCTCCCTTTAACGAAAAAGCACATTGGCACCATTGCTGTTCCACAAAAGTTGCTGGATACTCTTTGGTCCACGATTCCCACCGGCTTACCCAGCTCACAACGCGCTGCAGCCACTAGACACACAGAACCAAGGCACCAAGAACTCCCCATCTCTTCAGCCTACTCTCTTTTGCTCAGCTATTGCTCTCAGTGCATTATGGATGTTGCTTGCTGCCCAGTGCTGCAGCAACTTCTCTGTGGTATCCTGCTCTTGGTCAATACGCAGCAGCTACGCTTCACAGACTACACAGGGCATCAGAGTAACTCATGCTTGGATCTCAGCAGAGCAGCTTCTGTATGCCCAGCTGAGTTTACGTAGGACTGTAAGGTGGAGTACTCTGCCCCAGGTACTAGTTGCACTGTCCCTCCGGAAAGCTGTAGAGAATGAGGTAGTGCAAAGAAAAAAAAAAAAAAAAAAAGTAAAAACTTAGAGGCTCTATACTCAGTTGTGAAATACGCAGAGCGCCAGTGAAGTTTACTGAGCGAAAGAACAAGGCTTTTGCTTTGGGCTTACAAGGCACTCGGCTATGTTTCTGAGCCAACTTTTGCCATCTAGAGGTGATTACTTTAAGCCTGTATCACCTAAGCTGCAAGGGTTGGAGGTTTACCAATGTTGAGCCAAGCAAGCTCCCATCCCTGAAGCATTTACGGTCTGATCCAGGCAGGAACAAACAGTTAAGAATTGGGTTTCAGAGCAGGAAGTAGACTCAGAGCAATAGGGAGTGCTAAGCAGATGAAAAACAATACGATTTCTATAAAGGATTCAAAGATGACGAACTAGATTAGATTGTTTTCCTGTGTACTAAATATTTCAAACATTTTGAGAATTATAAAAAAAGGCAAGTAAACACATACCTATAAAACATCAACAAGTGCTAAGCTGAAGCACTTGGCAGCATCCAGCATGGACTATATATCAATTAACCTTGAAGACTGATCATTTAGTACTTCTTTAATAAGCTACATTTTGCAGAAACAGACACAGACTACACCATCATCGGAGGACAATGGCATTTTATCTTATAAATGCCAGAGGCCAGTCTAAAAGCACCTCAGCAAGACAGCAAGTTATTTACAGTTATAAAGAGCTGTGATTTGTTCTCATTCATCTTCTTAAAGAGGGTTACAACAAGGAACGATATATTCCAAATATGCTTATAGACACTCTAGGTAATAAAAGACCAAAATTTTAAGATATTTAAGACATGGCACAACATTCTTTCCTTACATAAGAAAAATATTCAGGTTTATAGGCTTAGTTGCAGAGAAAAATAGAGACAGAATCAGGAAATTAGCTATCCTCCGATTTTCACTGGTAAAGATGTTTGGCAACAATTTCCCAAGATAACTATTTCTGTTTTAATATACTCATTAACAAACTCATACTCATTTTGCTGGTATGCATCTGAAGTAATGTCATGTCAATGGTATTGGGTCAGCAGACAGCATCTCTCCTTAGTTACGGGTGAGTAACTATCCTGGAACAAATGAGTTAATATTAACTAATTGGCAACAGAGAGATGGATCTCTTCCAAAAAATTCCAAACAGAGTGATAGAAATCAACAAGATTTAGTATCATCCACAGCTTCAATTACATTCTAATGCTCCAAAAGTAAGTGAAAAGCATTTACACATCAACTCCCATAAATATTTAGTGATGACTGAAACAAGGTTGACTCTTCACATCACTTCATTAAATCAACAGCATCGAATAAGAATAGGCTGTTATACTGTAATCAGCATAAAAATAGGCTGAAGT